TTCTACGAACCGAATGCTTTATGCGGATTTGTTGATGGTTTAATCTTAAAAATGTGCCATGCCCCAAAAAAGGTTGGTCGCCCAAAACATTCATCAAAAAAGTCCAATTTTTTTTTTATCTTGACAACAAAAAAAAACTAAATTGCGTTTAATGAAATGATAATTTGTGCTATAAATAAGCAAGCAACATCACCACGGAAATATTTGTTCCACAGAACAGTTTTTTTTATTGTTGTTGTTGTGTCGAACAATTTTATTTTGTTGGAAGTGAAGAAGAAGAAGTGACTCAAAAACAGCTGCTTGACCAAGTATTTATATTTTTTACTTGTCTGAGATATGCTGTCCATGGGTTGTTGCAGCTTTTTGGTCAAAAAGTGTGACTTTTCACGATTTCAGCTCTGAAAAGGGAGGGCGGGCCAATTTTCAAGCATTTTCAAAGAAAAATAGGTTCAAAAAAGCGAGACATCAAAGGTTTTAGACAGAACTGCCCGGCTCAAAATTGCAGAGTTGGACAGCCTACTATTGGGTCGTTTTAATTCATTGGGTAGCTTGCAGGGAGTTAAAGATTTGTAGACAATGATGCAGAGCTGATAATTCACATTTTGATCACTTTCACATAGTTTAGGGAGATAAAGCTAGTGTCAGATTCAAGTTTAGAATTCTTTGTACAATAAGTCACAAAATAATAGCTTCGTTGGCCAATTAACCTTCAATTCCTCAACCCATTAATGCCTTACTCCCTCTGTAACATCCATCAATCCATAACACATTGTTCTGACAAGCATTTCACACTAAAATGACCATTCTGCCCGCCCAAAATCAATAAATCTTTAACTTTTGTTTTAGTTTATTTTGTTCCTAGCAAGCAATCAATGCTAAGCAGCAGAAGCTTAATTGTTGTTGTTATTGAGTTAATTGACCTTTGTCAAGTCATAAGTTTTGTGAATATTGGCAGCTGTGCTGTGTGTAGACGGCTTTAGTATTTATTTTGTCATTTTTGGGATTGTGTAATTATTTTTGAGATACTTTGTGAATGATTATGTCATTTTAGATTTATTGGGAGTCATTATGAGTGTTTGTTTGACTTTATAGGATATGGAAACAATAGAAATTGACACATGTCGAGTATGAAGGTATAAATGAGTCATTGATATGATTTTGAAAGGGTTTGAATCAATTTTGATTGAAATTTGGACGTTGGCAGATGAAAATTTATCAAGTTAAGCATCTCTAACCATTGTCATGCCTATAGACACCCGACCATACCCCTGACATCATCAACACACCCAATATAGCTTCAACTTCCCAGAATATTCTCCAAAAAAAAAAATCCATAGCAACTCATTGTCTCAATATCACCTCATTTTATTATTATTACACCTTTATAGCACACATCGTACCTTAGTATCTTATATAGTGCAGTAAACAATGTCTGTTTTAAGCATATTGTGATGATGAAATAATCACCAATTTACACGTAAGTTTTATTATTTCTACAAAATTCTCTCGCATGTTTATTCGATCATTTATGAATTTGTAATTCACAGCTCTATTAATATCCAATTGTTTAATGACTCAATTGAAATTTATTGTTCGTTGCGATGAATTTGGAGAATTGAGAATGAATAAGGAGAAGGCTGAAGAAAGAGAATGTTCGAGATGGTTTTTGATCAGAATTTAGGCATTTTTAATAAGAAAGGCAAAGTCTCTAAATTGAGCACACTAAGGTACCCTTGTTATTATATAAGCAGTTAAGTGCCTTGCTGGTCGAATAGGTAAGGCTTGGCTCAAATTTGGTATGGTAACTCGAAGGTCGTCGGTTCAAATCCAGCCATTTCCAAATTTGTTCTTTTTCAGAAGTTTAGATACTTCAACTGCTTAATGTACGAGATCAAGCCATAATTGGGAATTTTGGGCAACGCTGGATTAAGGAACGGATCAGGAACTTGAAGTGTAGCGGGAGAAAAAGGAACGAGAGCTACAAGATTACCTTATAATGGAATATTGTCAGAACGGACCTGAAATGTATCACGTCACCCCCACAGAAGATTGAAACGAGAGGCTGAATTTAATCGAAACCTAGATTTGAAGATTAGAAGCTTGATTCTACGTCACCCATAGTGATATGAAATGTATCACTAATCAATGTAAAAAGTAAATCATGTATAAATACTAATTCTTCCGGACGGTAACGTCGACAAATAAATAATAATTGCTGTTCATATGTTTAAGAGTCATAATCAGCATAATTTAGTTGAGGCGATGATAAGTAGGATTCGTGCACACCAGATCATTACCAAATAAGTGAGACAGAAATCTACGACTACCCAAATCATTTACTCAACATTCAGTCACGCTACCAAACAGTTAATCATCCGTTCATACTTTCACACCAATCTTTCTACAAACTATTGACAGATTTGGGAGTGTTTTGAGAATCAGTAATGTACCGCGGAGCATAGTTTGAGAAGCTAAGGGACCTAGAACAGTGGTTGACAACCTTTTCTGGGCCACGGTACAGACTAGACTTAAATCACATACGGCAACTGGTTTGTGGGATTTATCGAATTTTTCCGCGGCACATAGGTTGGGCAACACTGACCTAGAGTGTCTTTTCACCAGCTAGTCACGATATATCTAGATCCAAAAACAATGAAATATATTTCCAGAAATTCTAGTTTATTTACGAATGCTTTATAAACTACAATGAAATATATAGATCTACGATGGATCAGATAGCTATAAAAATGGATACAAATGAATAAAATAGTATGTTTATGATATGATTTTCCTCACTTTTTCGTGACGCGTTTAATGCGTCTGCTCGCTACGCTTGGTGATGAAAAGTGGGATCAAAAAGAATAAGCTAACTGATTGTCGGCTAGTCCGACTGAACAATAATAAAAATGAAATCAAAATGACCGTTAATTTATGAACATTTAACTTTTGGATTATTCATAGATTCATTTAAAGATATTCATTAAACTTTTAGATTATACTAAGCGTATATATGCTCTATATTTAGGTATGACAGTGGTAAGCTCTAACAAGAGTTAATGTATAAATAAGAGACATGTCCATAGGACTGCATGTACATCCATTCCAAGCCACAACTGTTTCAGGTTATTAAAATTTAAAATGATTCTAAACTCACCTTTATGATTTAATTTAAATTATTGCTGAAGATTTATAGCTGAATTTTTGATTTATTCCAAAAGATTCTGCGTCACATGACATTTCAGCTGAACAGTAAGCTACCACTTCATCTGGTACAGCACTTAATGACTTTATTTTAAGCACCATTTACAACTATAATGGACCATTCAGCAGCACTTGGTATTTTTTAAGAAACTTTTTCACATTTTCCACAAACTGAGGAACAAAACTTTTAGTTCCTGCATCGCAACAAATTCCCATTAAATTCACAGTCTCAATTTCCCATCACATTAGCCATCCACGTGACTATTCAATTTTACAATCTCCGTCAACCTCACCAGCAATTATTATTATTTTTTCTCAGCGATGCTAATTACATTGATATCAAGGAACGCTAATGTCTCTGCTGCTGCTGCTCATCACTTGACATTTTGTATTCATAATTGATGATTGTGTGACGCATGTGTGATGCTGGTTGTTGAAAAAAAAAAAAAATGAAAATTTGTTATTGGCATGAAGGCGAGTGTGACTGAATGTCTGATTCAATGTCGTGTTTGAGTGAACTCTTGATTAAAGTCATGTGATGCAAATTTTTGTAGATTTTGTTGAGATTGTTGCAGATTGTTGAAGAGGCTTAGATGATGTGAGGAAGATTTCGTTGGTTTTTGTGGTGCTTGATTGATTGATTGATGGACTTTGGGGGTCTATTTTATAAATTGCGTCTTTAACAATTTTGTGGGTCTATTTAACAACCTTTGAAGGGTTCATTTAACTACTAAGGGAAGGCGCGTAGCCAGGGGGGATTTGGGGGACAAATCCCTCAACGTAAACAGAATTTTCTTTATTTTGCTAAGTTTTTTATGAAAAAATCAAAAAAATCACCCCCCCCTTAAAGTTTTCCATACAAATTCCCCCCCCCCCCCCTTTTCAAATTTCTGGCTACGCCCCTGACTAAGGGTTTGATTAGGGATTAGGGGTCTTTCAGGGAGAAATCAGGCATTGGTTTTGCTTTTAAATTGTCAAACCCAGGAGCGTAGCCAGGAATTTGAAGAGGGAGGGGGGGGGGATGGAACAAAAAAAAATTTATATAGAAAATTCAGAAGAAAGGTGGGTTTAAAATTATTTCATAAAACTCCTAGCAAAATGAAGAAGTTTCTGTTAACGTCGGGGGATTTCCCCCCCTGGTTACGCACCTGGTCAAACCATGTTTTATTTTCTCCCTCTCGTATAACACGTGACGTGATTTTTAAATAAACCCTTAATTTTTTTTTACAATTTTAAATTTTTTTATAAGATTTTGAATTTTTTGTTTTTTTTTAAACATTTTAAAATTTTAATCATATTAAAATTTATATTTTCTTCAACTTAAGTTTTTTTTTTGATTTTTTTAACTACATAACCTCAAAAATTTAATAATTTTTACAATTATTTTTTTTCATCATATTTTAATTAATATAGCACTAGAATATTTCAATAACTAATATGTGTGATGTTCAACTGTCCATTTTAAGCATAAAAACAAATTAAAACATATTAAAAAATTTTAATAAAATTGTGATTACATGATTGATGTCTGTGGGTAGGCTGCGATTTTAGGATTGCGAGATTAATCGCCTAGCAACAAATGAAGCAACCAAAACTTGTCTAAATCCTATGCTTCTAGGTTATGATTTATAATAAAGAACCCACCAGAGTTGCGAAACAGGTCGTCTGTGAACAGGCACAGGTGATTAACAGATCATTCACAGACACTGCTTTTTGACAGATCGCAACTCTGGAAGCCACCCTAATTTAAGGTTTTACCACACAATCCTAACCACAATCACCTGATCAACAACCCAATTCATAACCTTAACTCTAACTTTACAATCTATTTTTTGAATAACTTTTTTTTTAAATAAATTTAAATTTTTTTCTTAAAAACTACAACAAATTTTAACTCTTCACTTTCTTTCATGACCTCCAATTCCCCACACACACAAAAAAACACGTGTTTTACATCTTCTGAATAATTTCATACTTCTTCCTCACATCAATGCCCTCACTTTTTGGATCAGGTCGCTTCTTATTCTTCAATTGTGCCCTCATTTCAGCAACACTCATCGACAAATTCAACTTTGATGCCGGCAATGTCGTCTCAACGTTGCCATTTCCATTCGAAATTTCCAATTTTGCTATGTCAGCGAGTTCATTGTCTGCTGCCTTCTTTGCCGCTCCATTTCCATTCATTTCCTCTTGCTTGACTTCTTCTTTAATCATTTTTTCGGAATCGACATTACCATTGCTGTTGCCATTGCTTATGACGGTGGTTCCGTTGCTGTTATTGTTATTTTGGTGATCAGCTTCGGTTGCTTTCATTTCAGCTTCTTTCTTGATCTTTTCGATTAGTGCCATTTGCTGGTGATTGTGAATGTCTGCTTTGGGGTCGATGACCAAAAGTTTTGTTTGATTTGGAATTACTTTGATGCGCTCGACGACTTGCTTGTGCGTTTCACTGTTGATGCTTTGACCGTTGACTTCGAGAATGCGATCGCCTTGACGGAGTCCTGAGGATTCGGCTGGTGAGTGTTCATCGACTTTGCCGATGTATTGACCGGGTTTGCCTTTTTCAGCGTGAAGATTGAAGCCGTAGCCATCGAAGTCGTCACGTTTTTCGACTAGGCAGAGACGGGGTTCGAAGAGGGTTTGTTGGGACATTTTTCTATGTTTTGGTATTTTTTTGTTATTTTTTTATTAATATTTTTGAATTTGTTTATTGTTTTGTGAATTATTTTCAATTGGATTTGTATATTTTTGGATTAAATCTGTTAAGTTTTTTAATTGTTTTGTATTTTTATACACTTGTAGCTTTTCAGATTATTTTGTAGATATCCACAATAAAGCACTATCTGAAAATAAAATTTTATTTTTATTTTTAAACTTCACTATTATTTTTAACTGTGTTTTTTTTATTGATGTTGGTTTTTTGTTATTCCACATTTTTTATTTTAAAAAAATGTTTTTTTGGAATTCAAGTTTATAAAATTTAAAACTTTTCAAAAATCAGAAAGTTCAAAATAAAAAATCAATTAATTTTCTTTAATTTTTCATTTTCAATTTTAAATGCTATGAGATTTTTAAAAAAAATTTTTATTTTATAAAACTTTATAATTTTAGTTTTAATATTTTTATTGAATTTTTTATTTTTTAAATTTTTATTGAATTTTTAATTTTTTTGATTTTTGAATGTTTTTTATTTTTTTTTGTTTTAATTTTGTTTATTTTAAAATTACTATAATTTTTTAATTTTTTTGATTTTTGAATGTTTTTGATTTTCTTTGTTTTAATTTTGTTTATTCTTAAATTATTATAGTTTTTTAATTTTTTTGATTTTTGAATGTTTTTGATTTTTTTGTTTTAATTTTGTTTATTTTTAAATTTTTATAATTTTTTAATTTTTTTGATTTTTGAATGTTTTTATTTTTTTTTGTTTTAATTTTGTTTATTTTTAAATTATTATAATTTTTTTATTTTTCAAAATTCCCAATTTTTTTGAACTTTTTGGATTTTATTATTTTTTTTTAAATTTATATTTTCTTTTTTTATTTCTTGTTTTTTCATTTTTTTATTTTATTTTATTTCTTATTTTATTTCTTATTTTATTTTATTTCTTATTTTTTAAAATTTTTGCGTTATTATTTTATTTATTTTCCTTATTTTTGAACTTTTTAATTATTTTTAATTCTTATTTTTATTTTCTTTTATTTTATTTTTTTTTGTTTTTTTGTTTTTAATAATTGAATTTTTATTACAAATTGTATATTTTTTTAAAAAAATTTCCACTTTCGCTTTTAACGTAATCACAATTCTTATATTTTATTTTCTATTTTATTTCCAACTTCTTCACTTCATTATTATTTTTATTTTATATTTTTTTTCTCTTTATTCTTTTTTTTTGCGTTGTGAATTTTTTTATTTAATTTCTTCTGCTTCCCAATTGTCTCTCGTTTCACTCTCATTTAATAACATATTTTACAATTCTTTCTTTTACTCTTGCAATAAAAATGTAAAAAATAAGAAGCAAAAAATTCACTTTCAATTAATGAAAACGAGATGAAAAAAAACAACAACGAAAGATCTCGATGCACGGTCCGAATGAGAAAAGTTGGATAATTTTTACTTTAATAAATTATAGGTTTTGTGTATTTTTATGATTTTAACATTTTATTGGTGGTTGCTTTTGATGGAATTTTGTTTTGGAAATTGATAGCTTTTTGGCATTATTGATTGAAGAGAATTGGCAAATTTTTTTCAGGATAGATTGATTGGATATTTAGATAATTATGGGTTTAATTTGACTGATGAAGGCAGTGAAAGATGAAAATTAATAAATGTTGAGCATAATTGATCATTAAATGCGTAACTGAGATGCTAATCTTATTTTTTGATGGGGTTTTAACATTTTTAAAATTATAATTTATTATACAACTAGTCTAGTGGAAACTAAAGAGTCTTAATGAGGCTGAAGGGTCGCTTTGAGTGTCTTTTTTAAATTCCTTTTCCTATTAACAGAGATGGCACAACCTAAGTTCAGTTTCTATGTCTTTTGGGAGCACTCCGGTAAGACAAGAATGAGACTCGATGCACAGCAATATTAAATTTAAGTAAAATTTATCTTAGACTAAGGTTAGGTGCACGGTTAGCCCTAGTTGCCGACCCCAGGGTCTGGTTTCTTCATTGTCCGACGTTTATTAATTTTTATTTGATTTATTGAAAAAATCCAGGCTCGGAAACTAGACAGTATTTGGCGGTATTTCATATAAAGAGCTGGCATTAGGGGGTATTTGGGGGTATTTGTATAGAAGTTGCTGTTATTTGGCGGTATACCGTCTAGTTTCCGAGCCTGGGAAAAAAGTTTAATAACATCTAGTTAAAACTTTATTTAAAAAGGGGTGGTTTTGACCCCAAAAACCCCTCCCAGGTTACACAACTGCTACCCAGAGCACTCTATTCTAGTCTCAAATTAATTTTATTTATATCCCATTTTATAGTGCATCTAAATTAATTTCAGCTCTAGTTTCTGGCCTATAAATAGGTTGTCCACCAGTTTTGTCGATTTTAAGTCAAAAAGCGGGACATGTCCCCATTTTATCTCTGAAAAGGCAGCAAAGACCAAATTTTCAAGCGTTTTCTAAGAAAAATAGGTTCAAAATAGCGGAAAATTAGGGATTTCAGGCGGGATATTGATCAAGAAAATTGGACTTCCCGCTCAAAAGTGCGTAGTTGGGCAGCTCACGTATAAACTGACCCATTGACAAATCAGGCTATAAGGGAACGGAATCTGGGAGTGACGGGGGTCTTGTGAGCTCGAGAAATGACAAAAAACCCTTTTATTACTAGGTTTACAGCCATAAAGCTTAATATGTTAAGTTTTTTCATTATTTTTATATTCAAATCTATAAAAAGTGAGCATTTATAGTCAAAAACAATTAAGATTGCATCCCCAATAATACTCAAAACCAGAGCTCGAAGTCGACTCGAGTTGACTCGAAAAAAATAAAGTCGACTAGAGATTGAAAAAAGAGAAAAGTTGAGTCGACTCGATTTTGAGTCGGTCCTATCGACTTCGAGCTCTGCTAAAATTTCCAAAAACTCAATTTTATCAAAAAAATCTATCAAAATTCAATCATTTTACAATAAAATCACCTCAAATTCATTAGCATCACATTAACAAAAAAAAATTCACCGTCGTTAAATTCTTCAACAAATAACTTTACATTTTTTTAATTTATGCTAATTTCATCTTTTTTTTCTACTTAAAAAAACAGATTCTTTTTTAAGATCTTCACATGCCAATCACACAAAAAAGACAAAAAAAAATGTCTATAAAAATTCCATCGAATGCAACACAACAAAAAAAAAAGAAAAAGTTTTTATCGAGACACATGTGTAAAAAAAAATCCACTTTCCATACACGTCGCTGATCTCGTCCGTATTTTTTGACCACTAAAAAACTTTATTTTTTTTTTATTCCTTACGTCTTGTGAAAGCGAAAACAACCACGGACTGAGAAATACACACAAAAAATTGAAGCAACAACAAAAAAAAATTCCTGTCGATGGAAACTTTTTGTTCGGATCTTGTTTTTTGAACTTTACGCGCTCGATGCTGAATCAATACTGAATGAAATGTGGCAAAAATTGATGTTTTTGGGCTGATTGTTGGATGTTGAATGCTGCTTTTGACTTGGAAGATCAGATGGGAATGTTTTGGATGTTGTTGTGTGATTGTTTTTGGATATGATCGATTAAGCAGTGATTTTTGGATTTTTTAAATAGAATTATGACTTTTTTGGTGTATTTTGGTCAATTTAGACACAATTTTAACTAAAATTTCATAAATTCTAACCTCAAAAAGTTCAGTTTTTAACTCAATCTCACTTATCTTCAAGAATTCACCTTTAAACACGATCCCTCAATTAAATCGCAATTCAATACTCATTAAAACATTGATCAACACAATCGATGACGTAGCAAAGCATTCGTCAAGCAATAACAAAGCAAAAGAAGCCACAAATACAGTCAAATGTTGTTGTTTTATTGTCAATGACGTATCATGACTAGAGGTTTTTGTTGAGTAATGTTGATGTTCTCTTTTGAGCTACTATGTTGGCTACCTGAATTAGAGACTTAAATATTTTATTCTAAAATTTTGTTCATTTTTGCATAATTGTACACAAAAAATTCATATATACTAGACTTTCTTTGATTATGCTATAGAGCAGAGGTTTACAACCTTTGTGACACGGCACATCTTAGCAGTAAACTATGACTAAAACCATAAACACCAAACGATTTGTGGGATTTATTGATTTTTTTCTACTCACATGGGTTGTCCATCACTGCTATAATACAGTGGTGGTCAACCTTTTTTTGGTGACACTGCACGCTGACCGAAACCACACATAGCATATGGTTCATAGAATTTTTTAAGCTTCGCACTAATGTTCCTTGGTACATGAGTTGGCCATTACTGCTCTAGAGTCAGCGCTCTCGTTGAAAAAATCAAATCTAGCTCTTAGCCAGCCTCACGTCCGGACAGTGCAACTATTGTGCAACAGTTCTTAGCTATGTGCCACTTTTGGACATATATCAATGACTTTAATTTTAAGTACCTCAAGGTCCACCCAAAAATAGTTGTTCATTTATGACGTCCGAATTTAACGGTAATTTTTCAAAAAAGAGCTGAAGTGGCTCTGTGGCGGAATGGTTTAGGACTTCGTACCTAATTATTGCATTACTGACACAGCAATTATTTGTTCTTACTTTATACTGTCGGTCTTGGTTTTTTCGCAAAGGATTTCCATGAATTTCTATTGTTCTTTCTTTCTGACCCCCTTACCACTCCCCCCCCCCACCCTCTTGGACGTCATAAGTGAACGGCCCCAGTTCCTGATTTTCAAGAAAAACTCTTCACAAAGTCTTATGCTTAAACACATTCCTTAAATGCATTCCGTAGTCAACACGTCTACATCGTGGAACCCTCGAGACGATGTTGTTCAGCTCGTGCTCACTATAGTCACTCATAAGTCATTTCAGAACAATTCTGTAGTACATGATCCGACACTACATAAGCTAGTCCAACAGCAAATCCACAAAACAATTCTTTTACCAACCAAAACATCTTTATTCACTCAACACAAAAAAAACCTGTCCATTAATCCACAAAACAACAACAAAAGAACAAGAAAACATCAACAACAGCAGCAGCAAAAAA